GGGTTAGCAACTATTTCTGTGCTAAAAATTCATTACAATCAAACAATTTTGCCGTTTTGGATGAAGATGCACATCATTTTTTCTATCAGATTCAAAATGGCTGATTGGTGGCTGTTTTGTTTTCTAAAATGCAGTTTCAGAGCCATAGCTCAATTGTATAAGAATGAATTTTGTTAATTTTTTGTACATACACTGGATGTTATGAGACCTCAACAGATGCATGTCATTTAGCCAACATTGGATCTTGGTCATGCACATACATATTTTGTTCATACTTGGTAGATACATTGATTAATATATGGCCTTGATGCTCAACCTTCTGTTTTTCATATTCAACGTATTGCCAATGAATACTGTTCTGCAGTCGTATATATATATCTGGCATGCCCTACTTGTTCATGTCAAACTTCATATATTTATTAAACTTGATAACTCACAGAGACTATGAAAAGCAATTATTTGTTGATTAAATGGTTCATTAAATCCACAAGTAGCTAGTTTATTTCGCTCAATGGATGGTTGATTTCATATCAAATGTTGTTCACTCCTCATTACTGTGACTAGTTGTAATGGCCCCGAGTTGTTATAAAGATTGTGCTTATTTATACATTATCATTGTTATTGATGGCAATTAGGGTGGGCGAGTATGTCTGTGATCGTCAATTGATATGTACAGGAAACACAGTATTTATGCCTCGCAGGTCTGAAATTGTCATGTCACACAAGAAGTTAATGGAATGTAATGTGAGATTATTCTTCCACTGCATAGCATAATGGCTGATGACTCGAGAGTGTGATTAGAAATGGGATGTATTGACTGGAGGCTGCATTAGTTTCATGAATAGATCAAAAAAATTCAAACATCTTCATTCAGTTCTAATGTGTTACCTTCCAGGTGTTATTTGTATAATCTAAATTTAGTAAATGTTTTGTGCATATTCGTTTTACCATTGCTTTTTTTGGACTGTATATTTGCTAACCATCCCCACTCTGTTACTGTATGTGTTAGGCCAATTATGATATAATGGTTTGATGTTTAAACAAAAAATCAGATGTTGCATTTGCCTTGTCAAATACTGTATATTGTTATTGTGTTTTTTTTCAGGATTTGAATAGGTCATATACATAACCTTTCAAAAGGTTGCACATTCTGGTACCTTCTGAGGTTGAACATTCACTCACAATGGAAATTTCACAATTATTTTCCTCGGAACGATTTCTTTGAAGTTCAAATATAGCAAAAAATGATATATACAGACCGTAAAGACAGTTAAACATAGAAAATACTCGTGTATACTATTCGAAAATATTGCTGTAATGGGTCAACAGTACGCACAGAAAGTATCTGGATGCGTGACTGTTATATTGTCATAATTTATGTTATGATACTGTTGTAGAAATGAAGTAATCTGACAAAGGTTTCTGGTGTCATGAGACTCATCTACATTTTCAAATTATGGTTTAATCAATCAGCACTAATACCACAAGTGGCAAAAGTGATGTCAACTTAATTGGTTCATGTTGACACAGATATTATGTTATATAAATTAAACAGTTTTTTAGTGGAATTGTCATGTGAACAAAATATATTTTATCTAGGCAGTGACAATATTGTAAGTTTTGATTGCACACTACTGAAATATTATGAAACTCATTCGAGTAACTTGACTTTCCTTTCAAGATACAAGATTCATTGCCCTTTTACTGTACCCAATTCAAGAGTAATTAGGATGCTACACCTGTAGTGGAACATGGCATGCTGATCAGTTGAGTGACGATGAGGATAATGGCTTTGTCATGTTATTATTATCATGCTCTGACTAAAAGCAAAAATTATCATGTCTGAACTCTGAGCTTCCATTCTCACTGTCATATATGTTGTATTGGTATGTACAACACTAGTTATTAGATGTGTTCTCACTCAAGGGAAATCAGTTGATTAATGGACAGTTAAGTGGTTGATCCACAGTTCTGATTGATCAACTTGTTTCAGCATACTCTATCTTATCAACAAAGATATACGTATTACCTCCTGTTTTTCCAGACAGTATTTCCCACATCCTGCCTTTTTTACCTATTAGCTAGGTTGTCACTTTGTAGAGGTCACACAAACCTGGAATGAGGTGGAAACCTCCTAATGTTACAGTCTGGTACGATATGTACATGTGAGCTAAGATTCAGAAAAGCTAGATTTTGATGAGGATCACATCAATAATGTTGGGGATATTTACAAGATTTTTTCATGCAGTTCAAGGAGCACTAATTTCTCTACATCATTGCTATGATATATGTAGAGTGTGTTCTTTCCCATTGCTATTAAGCCAGTATTACTGAAGAATGACTTTGACACTGGCACTAACATTGATTGGTACAACTTGAAGGGCTTCTTATCAGTCTAGTGTTGTTTTCTTCACAGCCTCGTTCTCGTCACCCAAAATCAATGCACATTAGCCAAATGTCATATCCTAGTTCATATGAAAACCCATTCATTGTTGACAGGTGTACCACTGGGACAATGGAATAATTGCTTTAAGTTGTGTTATGCTGAATCTCCTGACTAACCATCTGTGCTGATCTTTGACTTGATGTGGTTCATAGCTTTCACATGTATTGGAGCAGCTTATTCTGCAGCCAGGTCCGATAAACAACAAGCTATATAACTGCAATAATAACTCAAACTGTTGAATATTGAGACAATATACAATTGACTGATGCCTGAAAACTGTAAGGACTAACTAGTCTTTCAAACTTCTTTTTGACAGACACCAGATTCGAGTATCTTTGCCACATTTGACAAAACTGCATGGTCGTACTTGATAAAAGCGTGTTCAGCTTGTGTTACTTTCTTGTATACTATATTTATGTTCATGTTCATGTTGGCCTTACCAACCATGGTTTCCATGAATTATGAATTCTGTGATTAGGTACAGTGGAGACATGCAAATATCTGATAGGATGCTTTTGTTTGTCTTATATAATGTAAGCCTTGAAGCTAGAGTATTATAAGCATACTCGACTTTGCCTTGTTTGATCTGTGCTTGAAATTGTAATCCCTTATAATTTCTATAAGTTAAATTATATTTGTGTTTCTTGCAGGTGCCATTGATCATTTTGTAACCCCAATCAAACATGGACGAATCATTCTTGAAATGGGTGGAAGAGTCCCATATGAGCAGGTGAAACACATACTGGAAGAAGTTGCTCACAAGTTACCATTTAAAGCAAAAGCACTTACTCATGAAACTTTGGAAGATATGAAGGCAGAAGCAGAGAGACTGAAGAAGAACAATGCCAATCCATGGACTTTTGAGAGGGTTGCCAATAGAAATTATCTTGGTATTGATAGACATTTAAGTCCTTATGACTATCTTTGGTATGGGAAATTTAGATAAAATTATACATATGTTTTCACCCTTATGAATTAACAACGTCGTGTTCATATAATTATATGTTTGCCAATTGATTAATAAAGTTCTTCATTTGCAAAGCAGATGAAAGTTGGTTTCATACTTGCTCGTAGTTGTACTTGTATAGTTGCTTGCTGCTAGTATCTGTCGTGTACATATACTTGTTTGTGAATAGGAGACTAAATCAAATAGCAAGATACAGCACAGAAGGTAGTGATTCTGTCACACATAGCGTAGCAATACAGTCATGAGCTAATAATCAGTATACAGTATAACACTGATTAATCATATCATTGCCTTGTTGTCAATGTTATTCGGTTCATTACACTTGTACATTAATTAATATGCAGCATTAAGCAATGAAAGTTAGCTTTTATTCATATTTTGCAAATATATTTTAAAAGTAGATGATAGAGTCGCACCACATCTTAACGTGTGACAGAATGATTGTATTAGTTTGAGAGTTTTTTTTTTTTTTTTTAGATTTTTGCTCTTGTATATGTGAACATGTATGTGATAACTTTAATCATCATTGTACAAGGTAATATCAAATTGAAGATCAGTTTTGTACAATTTTGATGCAATGTACTGTATTAGATCTAAGATTCTGATAATTTGGTGATTTCGACATGTGGCTTTGATTTGTTATTCCTCGTGCATTGGAACAGCAAATGTTAGTATGTGCTGTGTCCTTCAATTACGCAAAGTACATTTTTGAGGCCCAGTTTTGTGCTTGTGCAAAAACAGAAAATTGTCATCGGTATTTGATAAAATGTACTTGTACTGTGAACTATGTATATTGTTGGCACCATCAGAACACCTGTCAAACATCCGTGGCCTTGCAATGTACCAGAACTTGTAGATCATAATCCAGTTGGTTGTTGTATGTTATGTTTTGATTGTCTGCAAGGTCGTCATTGATCAGTACCGCATTTCCAGTAATGTTTCTATCACCACGATGCTTGCTTGGCTCTCCACCTTCTCTGTTTGGTATTATAGAGACTCCTTCCAACATGCCCAAGTCTTGATTTATTTGATTGCTATTTGACAACATCATCATATGGTCATTTCCATGAACTACTCCATCATCCCTGTTAATATTTTCACTCAATCTAGTAATTGATTTCGTTTTACCTGAAGTTTGATTGCCATTTTGATCCCCATTTGTCAATTTATGAACAACATGATTTTCTGAGCTAGAAATTTTAAACTGATGTTCCATTATGCCCACAGTCCTATTCACTGTTCTGACATTGTCACAAGAACTGACTGCGAATGTTAATTCTGCTGATGTGTTTTCATTAATGTTGTCGTCATCTTTCTTAGTTTTAAACAGATTTTCCTCATATGTGTCCTGTGTTACACACTGTTGTGAATGCATCGTATTCTCCTGATGTATGTACTTAGTCCTCAATGTTTCACCTGCAGTATCACATTTTTCGTCAATTAAACACGAATCTTGCACATGTACCAATCTCTCGTCAGTATAATCTATATTTTCTGAATTACTGGGGCAATTGAGAATGTGTTCCTCTGTGCTCAGTGACTCTTGTTCAACTTTCAGCAGATTTTGAACATAGTTCTCTTGGAGTCTCTCTAATTCAAATGTGATATCTTTAACAACTTCGTCACGTGATCGAGGATTAACACGTTTAATAATCCTTGGTATTTGTGCTTCTGGAATTTCCATGAAAATTGTTTCATCCCCAGATGAAATTTGTTCCTCATCTCCGATGGTGAACCTGGGAATATCTATTGAATCCGGGCTTTGAGAATTACTGCTAGTATACGTTTCCGCTTGTATCTTAGTGTTTGCCATGCGACTGTCTACTTTCACCATTGTCATTGCCGTAATAGTACTGGTTCGTCTTCCAGCGTAATCAACTTGAGATCCAATATCACTATGCATGGTAGAAGCTTGACTTGGCCTGTCGGTCATTGGTGGTTTCAATGTATTACCTTCTGTAATTTTGCTGTTACGTTGTAACTGCACTATTGCCTGGTAAGATTGTCGTCGCCTGTCGTCCACTCTAGAAGAGTGCCTGTAAGAGAAAGAAAAGGTAAAGAAAACTTAACTTCTCTTTAAGACACGTAATTTACTAAGTTCACTTAATTGCTGCGAAGTAGTTGGATTCAATGAAACTGTTTTTCGATCAACCAAACATTTTCCCATAAAGATATCACATTATCGTACACACGTGGTAATCAAAAAACTTTGTAATTACAAAACATTCGAAAAGTATGCACGAAAACAGTACAGCTGGAGTATCGACCGACGCGCAGCGCAAGGAAACATCGTGGGAATGCCGAAATACAAAAGGTTTAGAAGTGATTGAGCGAACTTTGTATGGGGTCCGGTCAAACCTTGGCGGCAGCCATGTTTGTTTTTATTATTAGAGGATGAAAATACCCAATGCAATACCGCAAAATTACGCACCCTGTAACTTATGACGTTACGATGACAGGTGTATAATAATAAGTGATAAGATACAACATTTGTAGTTTGTGCTTCAATAATTTTCTGGTCTTGTAAATGTATTTCGATTTACCTATGAACTCAATACTCAATTGCCGTTCCGAAACCCCTCTTACAGCTAGACAAACTGTTGCTATTTATAAATGCACCACAGCGAAATTGTAGTTAGGTACAAATTAACTTGAAGCTGACACAACCACCAATGTGTTTTTCTTCAATATTTTCTTCCACAAATTCGGGACAATCTCAACGGTCCTACTGTCAGAGAATTGCTTCTGTAAGTCAACATCACAGTACATAATACATCCTGGGATAGTTGATAAGTCTGTTGACCGTAATGCATGGGTCAGTTTACTACTTGAAGACCTTACATCGATGAGACATGATCCTATTATAATAGATGCTCTCTCTCTATATATATATATGATATATCCTAGTAATTTAAAGGTCTTCGGAAAATATGGGCTAAACGTGGACACTCTAGTAGAGCTTGTATTAACTGGGGAACTTAGAGTTGCTTGGATATACGAAAATTCATATAAATTGCCATCACCTAAGATGTCAAACTATTGAATATTATGTGATGTGAGCCAATATGCCTGTATCCATCCGAGCAGAAGTCAGTAAACATTGTTAATGCCAACACATCATGCAATAACATACAGTTCTCACGGAAACCACGCAATACATTCGAATTACTGTGTTTTGATCTCTTCGTCAGTTTATTCGTGGTAACAATGACTTATAACGAACGCTGTTTTTTTTAAATGGATTGCTTCCATACTCGGGGGACTCAAACCTTGCGTAATTGCATCTAAGATGTTTATCTACTAGGTTAGGGTAAACCATTCATTCAATTTTGTATCAAGACTTTCGAACTAATTGTGATTTTACTGCTTTCAATTTACAAGAAGACTATTAGAAAATTTAAAATATACCCGCCATAACGAATAACACATACGTTTCGAAAGGTTTAAATTCAGACGTTTATTTATAAGGAAGTGTATATACTTGCCCATTTGAGTTGGTTATGTGTATACAAATATGACACTTGATCGGCGTCCATCATTCAGAAAAGTGGAGAAAGACTTGTGCATGCTTGTATTACATCTAGTAATTGCATTCTCGAACAATGAAATGACTCAATTGTAATCAATGCGAGAATAGGAACTTGAAACCGCCACTCGCCGTTACGTATCCAACATCCACTCAGATGTCGCGGGTTGGCGACTGTTTAAATTTATTATTGTCGGTGTCATTCAATGCAAATTAGTGTTTTCACGAATGTTCTGCTTTAAGTTCTGCAATGTGACTGCCACTGAGTATTTCCCGTTCTTAACAAATTAGTCAGCGCCGGATGTAATCGGCAATTGCATTCCAAGAAAAGTGGGCGGATTCAGTGAAAAAAACTAAAGCTACGAATTGTATATTTGTCGATTGTTCAGAAGGTTTATGTTTTGCTTTTTTTTTTTTTTTTTTTTTTCATGAGGAAACGTTTTTAATTCCAGGGAGTTATATGAGAATGATTTTGTTTACAATTGCTGTGTTCGTCAATAGTTAATTTGATTTACGAAGTGTGAATATATACCTCCCGTGTATGCTAATTTCCTGTAGGTTCTGATTTAAATCCAATATGGGTGTCATTGACTATGTTTCCGTTTTCAATGAATCAGTCTATGCCGGATGTATTTTGCTATTGTATTTCAAGAGACGAAATTGTGAACGGATTCCCACTTTTCCAATCAAAAACTAAAGCTACGAATTGGCAGCCAGCCGATCGCTTGTTCAGTGGATTTTAATATCAGGGATTTTTTTGAACGTGTCCTTCGTAGAACTTAATAGTTAATATGATTTAAAACGCGTTAATATGTTCTTCCCATGTATTTTACTATTTTAAGCAAGAGTGGCCTATTCAGGCTAAAAGGGCCGTTAAATGAACCCAGCCATGATGTGTCAATCAGATAAATTCTATGACTGGTCATAGCAAAACGGCTGAAACTATAACGCTCACACCGTTAAAATACTACATTCGAGTATAGGTCCCTTTCGACGTATACCACGCACGTAAAATGCTTTATAAACACGAAATTCTAAAGCACTGCTTGGCGACTTATGATGTTTTGGCGCATTCTACTGGTCAGGAAGTGATCATTGTGTTCTTTACTGTATTTTATGTATCGTAATTAATGCATTGATTCCTGGTTTCAGCATTCATGGCGGAAGCATTGTCAATCACGAACTAATGAAAACTGTTACTTTCAGACGTCATACAAACATTCAAGCATGTGCAGGTGTATACACTTGTCACGAAAGTGTGTATTATAATAATTATCCAAACGTGTTTGTATATGAAAGCAAGTACAATACGTGAGCACATTCCTATACCATGAAAACAAACTTTTTATGGAACGTCGCACGCTATAACCTCACCTGATGTAATAACAGCAAAGGATCTTCTTAAAGGCATCGCGAAATTGCGGTTTACAGCAGATGTAAATAATAGGATTTAAGGTACTGTTGAAGTATCCCAGCCAAACAATGGCACCTTCCAGCGCAGGGTGAATACGGCATGTCTTGCAGAATGGCATCACCAAGTACATTACAAAGAACGGTAACCAACACGCAC